AACAGTCTGTGGAAAATTATATCCTTTTATAACAGGCAAAAAGCAGTTTTCTAGCATTTCCGACAGTACTTTTATATATTTGATGAAATATGGACAACCGGAAATTTCTGTCCTTCGTGGCACCATGCTTTCACAGATCCCACAGATCCATCCAACTACCGTCCAATATCATTAACTAGCTGTGTTTGTAAAACCATGGAGCGTATGGTCAACAATCGATTAGTCTGGTACCTGGAGACCAATAACCTGAGTGACATCCAGTGTGGTTTCCGAAAAAACAGAGGGACCATTGACCATTTGATGCGTTTAGAATCATTTATTAATAATTTAATTGTCAACAAACAACATACTGCTTCAATTTTTTTCGACCCTCAGAAGGCATATAATACAACGTGGACACATGGTATTTTGAAAGATTTGCATGAATTTGAATTGAGGGGCAGATTGCCTCAGTTCATATCTCAATTTCTAATCAGCAGACAATTTCAACCACGAGTGGGCTCGTAACGTGTCAAGAGCACATAACGTGGTGCCAACAGCACTTAACATGCGTCAACCGCACAAAACATGTGTCAACAGAACATAACATGCGTCAACAGCACAAAACATGCGTCAACAGCACAAAACAAGTGATAACAGCACAACACATGTGTTAACAGCACATAACATGTGTTAACAGCACATAACGTGTCAACAGCACAAAACAAGTGTTAACAGCACATAACGTGTCAACAGCACAAAACAAGTGTTAACAGCACATAACGTGTCAACAGCACATAACATGTGTTAACAGCACATAACGTGATGTCAACAGCACTTAACGTGTCAACAGCACATAACATGTGTCAACAGCACAAAACATGTGTCAACAGCACATAACGTGTTAACAGCACATAAAATGTGTTAACAGCACAAAACATGTGTCAACAGCACATAACGTGTCAACAGCACATAACATATGTGAACAGCACATAACATGTGAACAGCACATAACATGTGTTAACAGCACATAACATGTGTTAACAGCACATAACGTGTCAACAGCACATAACATGTGTTAACAGCACATAACGTGATGTCAACAGCACATAACATGTGTTAACAGCACATAATATGTCAACAGCGCATAACAAGTGTTAACAAAACATAACGTGTCAACATCACATAACATGCGTCAACAGCACATAACGTGTCAACAGCACATAACATGCGTCAACAGCACATAACATGTCAACAGCACGTCACGTTTCAACAGCACATAACATGTGTCAACATGACACTCCATCTGTCAACAGCAAAAACGTGTCAACAATACAAAACATGTGCCAACAGCACAAGACATGCCTTTATGCTTGTCTTAAAAGGCGACTAACGGGATCGAGTGGTCAGGCTCGCTGACTTGGTTGATACATGTCATCGATCCCAATTGGGACCGATGACGTGCATCGACCAAGTCAGCGAGCCTGACCACCCGATCCTTTTAGTCGCCGCCTCGCCTTTTACGGCAAGCATGGGTTGGTGAAGACCTATATATTCTACCCCGGATCTTCACGGGTCCATAACACATATGTAAAGAGGCGTTCTGCTATATCTGAGGAAAGTAACGACATCCATGTATATTGAATGAGTAAGTATGTGGTTTAACACCGCTTATTATCCCCCCGGCATATAATGCGGGGGGATTTGGCGATCAGCCAGTCAGTCTGTCCGTCCGTCCGTCTGTTTGTCTGTCCGTCCGTAATCATTTCCTTTTCCGGGGCAGAACTCGAAAACAATTCAGTGTATTTAATCGAAACTTGGCATATCTATCAGTCACATACTGAAATTGTGCCTTTTGCTATTTAGGAATTTTAGAAATTTTTATTTTTTACGTTTCCATGGTAACAAGTAGGACTTAGGTTCTATAAGGGTGGTGTTCGTTTCCGGAGCGTAACTCAAAAACCTTTAAATACTTTCTTACAAAGCTTTGCATGTCTACCAGGCACATACTGAACTGGTACCTTTTGCTATTTAGGAATATTATAAATTTTTATTTTTTATGGTTCCATGGTAACAAGTTGCACTTAGGTTCTATAAGGGTGGTGTTCGTTTCCGGAGCGTAACTCAAAAACCGTTAAATACTTTCTTACATAACTTTGCATGTCTACCAGGCACATACTGAACTGGTGCCTTTTGCTATTTAGGAATTTTTCGTTTCCATGGCAACCAGTTGGACTTAGGTTCTATAGGGGAGAGCTCGTTTCCGGAGCATAACTCAAAACCCATTCAAAACTTTCTAACAAAACTTTGCATGTCCATCAGACTCATGCTGAACTGGTGCCTTTTGCTATTTAGGAATTTTTATTTTTGTTTTGTTTTACGTTTCCATGGCAACAAGTTGGATTTAAGTTTTCATATAAGGTGGGTTCACTTATGGAGTATAACAAATAAACTGTTAAATATTTCCTTGCCAAACATTGAATGTCTATATATAAACTGAACTGGTGCCATTTGATATTAAGGAGTTTTAGAAATGTTTATTTTAGAATTTCCATTGCAGCTATTTTGACATGGGCTAAGAGAAATGTTTTGGTCAGTTACCTGGTTTGGGACCATAACGTGTTAAAATGAGAGGCAATGAAAACGCAATCAGCATTTTTTATCATAGAATAGTAACAGAGGAGAAAACAAAGTGATTAGTTATTGAAAAATGTTACTTAGCGTGATAATTGTCTTCTGTCGTCGTGTGTACAGACATGTTTGGTTGTGTGCACACCATCCTGAACAAAACGCCAAAACACATCTTCAGCTTGCAGTCCGATATGCACGTGCACGACATGAATTTTGAATTGCCTGCAAACAGTACACATTGCTCCCCTATAAAATCACATCATGATTTGAAACTGGTGTCCATATGCACCATGCCACGGTTATCCCAAGATCAGCGACACCAGGCTATTGGAATGCTGCGAGCTGGCACGCCACAGACTGACGTTGCACAACACTTTAATGTCCATCCATCAACTGTCAGTCGTCTCAGAAGGCGCTACCAAGTCACAGGCAGGGTGGAGGATCGGCCACGCCCAGGCGTTCAACGGGTGACAACAGGACGTCAGGATCGCTATATTGTCATGCAACACCTCCGACGTCGATTTCAGAAAGCTGTACAGACTGCTAACAACACTATCGGAAGCAGAGGAAGATCCATCAGCAGTCGAACTGTGCGTCGACGTCTTGCTGCAGCAGGGATACGGTCACGTCGACCGTACCAAGGTCAGATCTTAACGCATAATCACAGACTTCAACGACAGCGATGGGCTGCAGCATGTGGTTTTCTGGGCAACGTCGGTTGGAGGAATGTTGTTTTCTCTGATGAGTCTCGTTTTAATGTCTTTCCCAGATGGACGGCTCCGTGTGTACCGACGTCAAGGTGAACGTTATGTGCGACCTTGTGTTATTGAACGAGATCGCTTTGGTGGTGGAGGAGTAATGATTTGGGGAGCCATAAATGCTGTGTTTAAATCACAGCTTGTTATTGTGCAAGGTAACTTGACGGCACGACGTTACGTGGATACTGTTCTACAGCCAGTTCTTCTTCCTCTCTTAAGACAGCATGGTGGAAACCGGCTAGTGTTTCAGCATGACAATGCTAGGCCCCATACTGCCATCCTGACACGGAATTTTCTTCAGAGAAACAACGTGGAGGTCATGCAGTGGCCCTCAAGGTCACCAGACATGAACCCAATTGAGCACCTGTGGGACGAACTTGGTAGGCGTGTGAGACGACAGCAGATTCCGCCACGCAATGTTGCTGAGCTCACTCAGGCATTGCAGTATCACTGGAACGCAATCCCGGCTCATTTCATCCGTCGTTTATGTGATTCCATGCCAAGGCGTTTGCAAGCTTGTGTTCGTGCTCAAGGTGGACACACCAGATACTGAGGGTCTGTTCAATCTCTCTCCTGTAAATGGGGTTGGAACTGATGATATTGGACACTGCTTTATGCAGAATTTCTCTATCGTGATCAGTCTTTGCTAATATACTTAATACAAGCTTTGAAATTTTCTTATGTTAATAAAATTCACGTTTGAAAATTGGATTGCGTTTTCATTGCCTCACGGTATAGATGACTTCGTTGTCTTTGTTTTTTTGTAATTTGTCATTTGTTTGCATTAAATAAACACACAGAAACACACGTTTTACTGTCCATTTCATATGGATGCGACTATGGTGGATCTTTTGTTGGTAAACAATGTATGCTTCAACTCTTGACTCATTACATACAGAATTGCACATTTACTTGTAGTTACTTTACAGACAGCTGCCGGGGGGATATATCATCTTTCTGATGACTCTTGTTTTAGTTGCCTCACGGCATGTCAGCTTTGTGTGGCTGGAAACTTCGAAAAGATGCAAGCCTTTGACATCATGTATAATCTAATATTACCATAAACCTCTGAAAGATCCCTGTTGAAGGTTTAAAAAATACAAACTATATTGTTGCAAGGTGTTTTTCTTTAAACAAAATATAGTTCAGGCCCCAAAATATCTGTGATCCATACATAACCCTGACTTCTTCGGACAACTTTCAACTTTGAAACTGTCTATTTATTGCACATACTCCCACTCACAAACAAAATATTAATCACACAGATTCTAGAACAACATATGTCGAACTTACATTTGGGCATTCTTTCGAATAATAGTTACGTCACTAACATTTGGCTCAGTGTGGATGAATAATATATTGATGTATCGTCGCTGAATGTCGTCAGCTAAATGGGGATACCGAGCTAACGCATGTCACTTCGGCCAAAATCACCACAAGATCAAACCAAATATCATAATAGCGAATTCTGGATTCGAACCCAAGATCATTAGTTTACATTTATGGACTGTTTGAATTTGTTTCATGATATTCAATGTCCACATGTATACTGAGCAAAAAATGATTAGAGATCATATATATATATATATATATATATATATATATATATATATATATATATATACGTGTGTATATATATATATATGATCCCTAATTTATTGTGTTGAGTATATAGCGGCATAACTGGATATGGGGGCCTCCCATTTGTCAGAGACCCATTTGTCAGACAGTTGAATATGCTTTTAACTGCCACACTCCCCTATACTCATAATCTTATGACCCAGACACTTGAAAATCTGTGTGAAGTTATAAACGGCTTAGTTAAACTGTAAATATGTTTGTTTTTAGAAAGTCTGTGAGATGGTGCCCACTGCTTGTTTTTACCAGTGAGTTTAATAGGCTTCGTTAACATAACCAGTTTGTGTTCGCAAGTAAGTAGGCCTGTTAATAGTAAAATATAACCCCTAGTTTACAGTTTCACAGTTTGTTGTCTCTGATATTTTCACTGAGTAGATCTGTTTAGCAGGTGACATTCCAACTCTGGCTTAAAGTACCGACAGAACATGGACATTGATGTGGAAGTAAATATTACTATATTCATAATTATTGATGGTCATTCTATGTTATGTATATGTTATGTATCATACTTTATGTATATGATGTTAAACTCCTTTAACTGTGTTTTATTGTCCAAATCAAAAGCAATAATAAATCGAGAGAAAAAACACTGATTTGTATAAATACTGATTTCTTTTGTACCAGCTGTCGGACCGTTGTTGACGACAGGACTTGTCTATTCGGATTAAAGGGAATATAGCACACACCTGATGTGCCCTCAACCATAAAAGTTATTGTTTTAAGCTGTCTGACAAATGGGGTGTCTGACAAATGGGGAGTCTGACAAGTGGGATGTCTGACAAATGGGGTTTCTGACAATTTGGGTGTCTGAGAAAAGAAAGATGACCCTGGATATATGTCGCCTCACCAGTGGACACAGTGCTCAGCGCATTTACGGATCTCGGTCACATTCCAGCCCTTCTTAACTATGTTTAGCTTTTACCTAAAGGAACACATACTCTTGGGCATACTAAGCTATTATATTAATGTGGTACAGATGGTGTATTGATATGTTCTTCAATTTGTTTATAAAATGCCTCCGGCATCCTTGCACAGCTGCTCCTTGCGTCCTTGAGACGTGTCTTAATACTTTCCAGCAGGGCTGTCTTTGTGTCGAGCCCAAGTCGATGCTGAAAAAGCGAATAAGCAAGGAGTGCGTTAGTACGTCAGTGCGAATTGACACGGAATTGGTTGGTTGGATGGTTTGTTGTTTAACGCCGCACCCATGCTTGCCGTAAAAGGCGACTATGCTTGTCGTAAAAGGCGACTAAAGGGATCGGGTGGTCAGGCTCGCTGACTTGGTTGATGCAGGTCATCGATCCCAATTGCGTGGATCGATGCTCATGATATCAATCGCTGGATTGTCTGGTCCAGGCTCGATTATTTACAGACCGCCGTCATATAGCTGGAATATTGCTGAGTGCGGCGTAAAACAACCAACTTACCAATCAAGAACACAGAATATGGACGGGGTGTGACTTTTGCGACTTCAACTTTCCAATAGTCAACTTTCCATTTATTCGAGCCATGTTACGGCAGCTAGAGCCTTTGGTGTCTACCTATCCCAACTTTCTGATAGTTGCTTGCTACAAACCTATAATTTAGGGCTGCATTCGTGTGAAATATAGGGATATATTCAAACTAACATAGATCTAGACCAGGTCATTATTATAACTACCAATACGTTTATACTACAGTTGATAATGCTACAAAGTGTCATGATTGCTTTTGATGAAGGGGCATGAGAATTAAATATACTTACAGATTGAAAAGCTGTATAAACGGCACTTAGAGCTGGATATTTCGGCCCATGGAATCGTTGACTGTTGCCATGGAGAGTGTAAGCGCCATCTTTTAGAGCTGGCGGACATCGAGATCGTGTTGACGGGAATTGACAGTGGTCAGCTCTGTAGTTCCACTCACACGAACATTTATACAGCTTTTCTGCAAGAAATCGTTTTGGAATATTCATTTAACAACGTTTATCTATCTATGGTCTTCCTTCCATGTATATTGCATCACAATAGTCTACCATCACCCCGTCTCTCCATCTATCAATACATCGTATGTGTCTGTCCATCAACTCATATGTCCATTAATCACTTCATCTGTCCATGCATCAATACGTCGCATGTGTCCATTAATCAACGCATCTGTCCATCTGGCAACACATCTCATGTGTCCATTAATCAACGTATCTGTCCATCTGGCAACACATCTCATGTGTCCATTAATTACCGCATCTTTCCATCCGGCAACACATCTCATGTGTCCATTAATCGACGTGTCTGTTCATCTGGCAACACATCTCATGTGTCCATTAATCACCGCATCTGTCCATCTGGCAACACATCTCATGTGTCCATTAATCGACGTATCTGTCCATCAATCAACACATTATTTTCCACTAATCAACGTATCTGTCCATCCATCATCATATTTATCCATCAACACATACGTCCATCCATCTACATGTTTGTCCATCCATTGACTTTATTTAAACCAAAAATCTCCTTCCATAGTTTTTGTCTACACCTTCACCAATACTGGGACGTATTGCCAAGTTTACGTCATAATGATTTGACGTTATTATATGTATCGTGACGTCATTAATTTTACTCCACACTTGTTATTGTAGAATCGTAAAACAATTCTACAAAATTGCTTTACTGTAGGACTTTACAAACGGCCGGTCAGACAACGTAATATCACATTAAGTCGATGTTTAGACGAGGTAAGTAAAGCCAGTTATCTTTGTATAATCATTATAGCTATCGTAACATTCAGACAAGATTTCAAATTATCTAGTCACCTGAAGGGGAAAGGATTGCCTCGAAACGTTTTCGTACCTGGTTCAAAATGAAAGAAAATATTGATAAGGTCTTGGTCACCAAGAATCAGTTTGGAAAGATATTTCTTGAAATAGTTCATCATCTTGTCCAGCCATTGGTCCTCTCTCAGTCGTACAAGATCCATCAGCATTACGCCAGAATTGAGACCTGCAAGGAGGTCAGTATACAGAAGGGACCAGTCAGTTTGGCTGGGATCATTTCTTTATAACCATAATAATGACAAGAATAATATGTGTGATATGAATGATATGAATGAATGCTATAAATGACATGAATCAAATGAATGACATGAATGGTATGTGTGATATAAATGATATGAGTGCTATGAATGATATCAATAGTGGGCGAGTGAGTGAGTGAGTGAGTGAGTACAAGATCCCAATGGGTTTCACACATTGTACCCATGTGGGGAATCGAACCCTGGCCTTTAGCGTGACGAGCCAATGTTTAACTAGTAGCCTAAAATTATATGAATGACATGAACTATTAGTGTGATATGTGTTATGAATGATATGTGTGATATGAATGATGTGAGTGACATGAATGATATGAAGAGCACGTATGATATGTGTGATATGAATGACACGTATGACACGTATGATATGAATGATATGTGTGATATGAATGATATGAATTATTTGTTGGATATGAATGACGTATGATATGAATGGCACGAATGACGTGAATGATATTAATGACAAGAATTATATCAATGATTTGTGCTGTATGAATGACATTAATGATATGCATATGAAGAAAACAAATATTGATATTACCAAATGTCCATATCTTTGATAATAGTTTTATATGCTATGATAGTTCTCTGGAAGTGTAAAGTTAATAACAAAAATGATACGCCCCCTGCTGTCTGCTATTGTTCTCCCAAACAGCACTCATATCTACTTTACTTATTCTAAACAATACGTGGTGTCAAAGTGAGGTGACCCCGTTATGACCTGGGGTGGTTTTGACCACTACATATGTCCCGTTATGTCAGCCAAGGTCAGCAAGGCCGCAACAGTGAGTTACGCTTTTGGCAAGACGGCAACAAATAACTGTGTCCTCTTCAGAGCGAAACAATAGGCAAATCCCTAGTTGACCGTTTGACCAGCTATCGATGACGCCACGGGCAACAGTTGTGTGCCTCTCGTCCTTGACCACACAGATCAGCCATTGTGACCATCTCCTGTACATTTACATGTACAGTAAACTACGGTTATAACGAACTCAAAGGGACCACTAACTTTAGTTTGTTATAACCGTAGTTCGTTATAAGCATATATACAGTATAACAATAGCAAATAGACGGGACAAAAAAAACCAGTTCGTTATATCCGTCAGTTCGTTATAAGCGTGTTCGTTATAAGCGTGTTCGTTATAAACGTACTTTACTTTACTTTACTTTTGTCCCGGTAACTTTGCTGCGCGTCATCGTAGCATGACGGCGTGGATCGTTGATCATGATATCAATCACTGATCTGACTTGATTATATACACGCCGTCGTAACTGATTGGAATTTCGTTGAGTGCGGCGTTAACCAATTCCCCATAACCTAACCAACAAGAATTTTAAACGTGACAGTTTTAACCACTACCCAACGTCCCCAGCCCGGATTAACCAGACAGACGTGTCCCCAGCTTGGATTAACCAGACAAACGTGTCCCCAGCCCGGATTAACCAAACAAACGTATCCCTAGCCCGGATTAACCAGACAGACGTGTCCCCAGCCCGGATTAACCAGACAGACGTGTCCCCAGCCCGGATTAACTAGATAGACGTGTCCCCAGCCCGGATTACCCAGACAGACGTGTCCCCAGCCCGGATTAACCAGACAGACGTGTCCCCAGCCCGGATTAACCAGTCAGACGTGTCCCCAGCCTGGATTAACCAGACAAACGTGTCCCCAGCCCGGATTAACCAATCAAACGTGTCCCTAGTCCGGATTAACCAGACGGACGTGTCCCTAGCCCGGATAAACCAGACAGACGTGTCCCCAGCTTGGATTAACCAGACAAACGTGTCCCCAGCCCGGATTAACCAAACAAACGTATCCCTAGCCCGGATTAACCAGACAGACGTGTCCCCAGCCCGGATTAACCAGACAGACGTGTCCCCAGCCCGGATTAACTAGATAGACGTGTCCCCAGCCCGGATTACCCAGACAGACGTGTCCCCAGCCCGGATTAACCAGACAGACGTGTCCCCAGCCCGGATTAACCAGTCAGACGTGTCCCCAGCCTGGATTAACCAGACAAACGTGTCCCCAGCCCGGATTAACCAATCAAACGTGTCCCTAGTCCGGATTAACCAGACGGACGTGTCCCTAGCCCGGATAAACCAGACAGACGTGTCCCCAGCCCTGATTAACTAGACAGACGTGTCCCCAGCCCGGATTAACCAGACAGAGGTGTCCCCAGCCCGGATTAACCAGACAGACGTACCTAGTTTCCCGTAGTATGGAATATTCGCAACCCTGTTGTACCATCCGAATGACGGGTCTCTGTGCTCTGGAATTAACGCGGCTATGTGAGACTTGTTAAACCGACTAAAGTGGCCCCACAGTTTTTCCATTGGGCTGAGAAATATGACATCAGTGTCGACGTAGATAATCTTGTTGACACGTTGTAATATGTACTGAAACAAGGAAAAACCAGTATAACTAAAATAATTAAGTTGGGTGTGGATTCGCTTGTCAACGACAGTATTACATGCATAAACAATTAAAACTACGCGATCAACTAAAACTCACAGTGTTGGCAAAGAGCTTTTGTTGTGTTGTATTGGAGTGTGTGAGAGTGTGTGTGCGTCTGCCTCTCTCTGTGTGTGAGAGCTACGAGCTTATATTGTGGTGTGTGTGTCTGTGTCGCACTCACTCACTCACTCACTCACTCACTCATCCACCACACACTAGCCTATTTTTTTTAAATTCACGTCTATCAAAACATATCTCAATTGATGGTGTGTGATCTTGCTTGGTTGAAATGGGACGACATTGGATCCCTGACACCCCTTTCGTTGTATTGACAGCCAAATGACCTCACGACCCACCCGAGGCTGTATAGTGACTGATCGCGGTTCATTGACACGCCCATGTTTACTCAGGTATCGTAACAGCCCTAACCCACCACCTCCCGACAGACGCTTGCCGTAAAAGGCGATTATGCTTGTCGTAAAAGGCTACTAACGGGATCGGGTGGTAAGGCTCGCTGACTTGGTTGATACATGTCATCGATCCCAATTGCGTGGATCGATGCTCATGATGCCAATCACTGGATTGTCTGGTCCAGACTCGATTATTTTAAAGGACCGCCGTCATATAGCTGGAATATTGCTGTGTGCGGCGTTAAACAACAAACAAACAAACAAACAAACCGGAATAAACAGCCTCTGTGCCGCACACGGCCCGTACAGTTTGCTCCATGTCTCCGCATCCTCCCCACGTGGGAGCGTTATATTGTAGATGTGGTAGGTGAATTGTTTCCTGTATTCCCCCGGTAAGGATTTGATCTGAAATAATGTCACAAGCAGATAATGTGAAAAACAACCGAGTAATTACTGAATAATATGAAATATAAATAAATATACGCATTAAGGTAAGCGGTGAGATCATCGTGGCCCCTTGTCCCTTTAAGGGTCAAGTGTAGTGTAGAAAAATGGTCTTAATCTACATATGTTTTAATAATTATCACCTCCTCACACTCTGTAAACTATAACAGTTCAAACATCGAGGCTTCCGTGATGTAGTGGCAGAGCGTCCGCCCGGAGAGCGGAAGGTCCGGGGTTCGATCCCCTGTCGCGTCATACCAATAGACGTTAAAAGATGGTACTCATTGCTACCCTGCCTGGCGCTCGGCTTTAAGGGGCTAAAACAAGGACTGGTCAGTATAATCTGTCTGAGTGGGATATTCAAGTTAAACTGCGGCATGGTATCTCAGTAGGCTGGCACTGTAAAGTCGGCATCAGTTCGGACTAGTTACAAGCAGTCACACACCTGTGCATGCACTTCGCTATGTAAAGGACGTGAGTATGAAAAGGGATCACCCTTTAACTGTTACCCCTACCCAGCAGACGTGGTGTGTGGCCCGTGCGAGCCAAGTGATTAAAGTGTTCGCTTGTAATCCCGAAGGCTCGGGTTCGAATTATAAAATGAAGACCACGTGTAAAGCCGTGTCTCGTCTCCCGCCGTGATATTACTAGAACGTGTTTAAAGCGGCGGACTCAGTCGCTCACTCGCTCGCTCGCTCACTCACTCACTCACTCACTCACTCACTCACTCACTCACTCACTCACTCACTCACTCACTCACTAACTCAGACACTGTCCTGTGTGACCAAGTCACCTCCAATGGCATTTAGGTAAGGTAAGAAATAATAAGGAAATATATCGCATACGAACATGTTCACAAAGAGGTTTCTGAGAAGGCAGATCACTGAACACGTGGATTGTGGCGTGACGGGTGAACAGCATGACCGACTTGACCAGCACCTTGACCTCTTCGATCCTGTTACCGCACATAGCTAGGGCCAGGTGCATGCCCTCTGGACTACGCAACACAGGGACAAAGCATTAATCTCCTGTCACGACTACAGCTGGTTTGGTTATTTGTTTGTTGGTTGGTAAACGTCGCACTCCAATGCCCAAACAAAACTATGCCCGGGGAACTGTGGCGCCTGGGCTACCCGAGTCCCCTGTCATAGAGATAACGACGAGGAAGAATTTGTTTGTTTGTTAGTTGTTGCATTCAGCAATATTCCAGCTATATGACGGCGGTCTGTAATCTGTTATTGAGACTGACCAGACAATTCAGTGATTGATATCATGAGCACTGATCCACGCAATTGAGATACGATGACATGCATCAACAAAGTCAGCGAGCCTGACCACCCGACCCCGTAAGTCGCCTTTTACGACAAGCATAGTCGCCTTTCACGGCAAGCATGGGTGCCGAGGAGCAATTCTTATCCGGAACTTCACAGGTGCACAGCCCTCTGAGACGCATACCAGACCACCATACTTGTGCACTTGTTTAACGCCGCACTCAGAAATATTCCAGCTATATGACGGCGGTCTGTGTAAATAATCGACTCTGGACCAGACAATCCAGTGATTGAGATCATGAGCAACGTTCTACGCAATGGGATACGATGACATGCATCAACCAATTCAGCGAGCCTGACCACCTGACCCCGTTAGTCGCCTCCAACGACAAGGGAGGGACCCTGAAGACTGACAAAGGGCTGGTGAGCATGGGCAATGCGGCATCAGGTACACTGAGTGGGTGCGTGTTGTTTAACGTTGCAATCAGCAACATATCACGATGGTCTCTAAATAATGGAGTCTCCGCCAGACAAACAAGTGACTCAAAAACAGGAATCGACCTCCTGTCCAGATGTTCACGCAGGAAGGTATGGTGTCGAAGAAAAGATCTGGTTTAAATGTGATTAACTTGACTATACAATGAATGATATATTTAGTGTCTCCCTTCTTGAGAAGACACGTGGAACCCAGTCAAGTAAACTGGCGGGCAAAACGTTGCTAGACTGAAAACAGCGCAAACACCCGTATCAATCACATCACCATCGAATAACCATTTCTGTTTGTTTCAGTTTAGCAACCATCAAACATGGGTGCATACTTTCTATTGCCCGGCAGTTTATGTGAATTGTGTGTGTTTCCACATACATACCTGGTCGACTGGAGCAGGGTGTCACTTGTTCCCGGGCTACCGATGATTGAGAACCTGGTTGTCAAAAATTGGGAGGGAGGTTTGGATTAAGGCTGATGTGGACAATATTTCAGTTAGAATGACGGCATGTTAGCTTGATGTAGGAGGAAAGGATGAAGTGATGCAGGTCTCAGACGTTTACCACTTTGGTGAAACCCATGATCACGGGTATGGTGCTGATAAACCTAGAAACATAATCAGTACTCTAATATTATTTGGTTATTAGTTACACGTGGGCCTGCGTGTTTATTACAAAAATACAATGACGTACCCCTCACAAACATGAAAAGGAATGTGTGGCATTACCATGTAATTTCTACTTGACACGTAAGATGAAATGTAGCTAGTGATTACAACTGACTGGTACGCCAGGATAAGTTGACAAGTTGAGTGGGACCTGACAATGATTATGTATGAGGTCCTCCCCCTGGCGTGTACCATTGTGAAGAAAGGGGAAGCCCTAAACAAAAGTCTTTAATTAAAAATATGCAAGACCTATGAGCATACTAAGTACTGTGATGCCTCGATAGTTAGGTGTATCATTTACTTATCCTATCTTATGAAGCGGGATACCCCAACTGACCAATTATTAGGAAATGTTGGATTTTCAAAAATAGAATGAAACAATATGTCTAAAGTTGGAGCAACAATATAAGGTAAATGTTTACAGATTCTGGTATAACGTCAAGTCCAAGTATTGTATCTTTCTTTAAACTTGCATTGCTTTCATTTACACATCCCTTGAGATAGGAGTATCTAAAATATCCTTCAGCATACCACTTTTTAAACATTGGGCGTTTTTACGATGGAAAAAGATAGTAATAATCCTGCTCTATTTGTATTCATGTTTCAAAAGGACATGAAGTATAATTTTAGTTTAATTCAGACTTGAATAATGCGCTGTGAAGGAATGTCCACTGTTTGTTGACTGACGAACGCAGACGACAATTCATTACTTACAGTGGCGCTGTATCAAATGTCCCCAAATATTTCTCTGCCACAGTTTGGTCGCTGTCGGACATCCTAGAAATAAAGATGAAATTACAATAGTAACAATGGAACATCATCATTAACAACAACAACAACAACAACAACAACAGTAATAAAATATAGTCAATCAGGCGAAGTGCCATATCAAATCGTCCCAGACTCAATTTTTCAAGGAGAGGCTGTCTGAACGATCACTGCATCGAGTTTATGTGCAGTATGTTGAGAAGCCGGCAACCATGTAGAGTCTTTTGTTTGGATAAAGTCGGCTGGCCTGACAAGTGAAACAGAAAGCTTCCTGTTTTCGGTTCAGGACCAGTCATTTCCAACTGTAAACCGCCAATGTGTGATTTTGCATAAATATGAAATGTAGATAATGCAAATTTAATGAGACTGTCCAACACATTATCAGTTCATTTAAACAAAATGGCTCTGCCCAGTCTGGACGATCTGATCGATAATCACGATCTATATTGTAACAAAACGTGTCTTACTTCGCAAAGTCCATCAAATCTCGTGATAACCTTGATTAAAAACATGAAATGATTTGGAGAATGTCTGTTGACGGCGAGTTGGTGGAATACATGCTTAACAAATCCTTATAATCGGCCGCCGAAACTGCACGGCATTTTACGAACGGGATGTCGATTTCGTTACGCGATTTTGATTGGACTATGCATAGACTCGTTAGTCCAGCCAAAATATTATTCCAGCCTAGTTCGACAAGGGTGGAAAATGGACTTTAAGGGTCAGTCAACGCCCTTGCCTCGGAAAGATGCACCATCACTGCTCCTGTTCTATCGTCTCTCGTGATTATTAAAATCGATATATTTCAACATTAGAATGTAAAATTTTTTAGACATTACAGAAATAAATTGAAATCCTCTCTACCATTAAAACAGTTTATATTTCCGAAACCATAAATGCAAGTTCACCTCTTATTGATCTCACGAGCCAGTTGAGATGTCGCAATATTCCACTAAACTGTATTAGCAGGTTGGCATGGTAACGACGTACACGTGAACTGTGCGTGTTAATGTATACATACCTCATAGACTGGGGTAGAGGCCCACTTGTAACCTGGCTAACGCCCTTGGTAGATTTGATTGAGAACCTGGTTATCAAAAATAGTGGATGAGTGAGTGAGTTTGGGTTTAACAGCGCTTTGAACATTGTTTTTCAGTTACATCACGGTGTGTCAATTTTAAGTGATGCCGGTCCAAGACATTTACCACTTTGGTTGAACCTTCAGGCACGGGTATCGTGCTGAAATAACATTGAAAGACAATAAGGGCAAACCGGGAATTCGAAACCACGATGATAGATTTCTGGCACACCTAGAAGAGTGAGTGAGTATGGTTTTACGCCGATTTTAGCAATATTCCAGCAATATACTGTCGGGGGACACCAGACATAGGCTTCACACATTGTACCCATGTGAGGAATCGAACCCGGGCGTTCGGCGTGACGAGCGAACGCTTTAACCACTAGGCTACCCCACCGCCCACAGAAAACTATGCCCGGGGAATCGTGGCGCCTGGGCCTTCCATGTCCCCTGTCATAGAGATAACGACGAGGAAGAATTTTTTTGTTTGTTGTTCATTGGTCAGCTTTTAGTGTATTTTTTTCCTAATATAAATATTTTCAAAAGCTAAATGATTGTTCAAACAGGACTGACGTATGTTGCTGAGCTGCCAATTGCACAAGGCACAGGTATTCACTGTCACATTGACTTCACTCTTTAATATCATTGGGGATACTGGATTATTAATATGGGAATACATATATTCCATGGTACCCTTGGTAACCATGTTTGTTTTTGGGTTGGTAAACGCCGCACTCAGGAATATTCCAGCAGTCTGTAAATAATGAAGTGATCAATAGTATGAGCAACGATCAACGCTGTCTGACCTCCCGATCCATTGTGTCGCCTCTCACGACCAGCGTTGGTTGTTGTGACTCCATTCTAATCCAGAATTCTATAACCATTTTGACACAATGATCAACTAGTTTGCTACTGAAGACAACATACAAATGAACCAGTTTGACACTGTAGACAACATACAAATGAACCAGTGTGACACTGTAGACATGTTGTACATACAAATGAACCGGTTGGCCACTGTAGACAACACATGCTACATACAAATGAACCAGTGTGACACTGTAGATATGTTGTATATACAAATAAACCAGTTTGACACTGTAGACATATTGTACATACAAATGAACCAGTGTGACACTGTAGACATGTTGTACATAAAAATGAACCAGTGTGACACTGTAGACATGTTGTACATACAAATGAACCAGTGTGACACTGTAGACATGTTGTACATACTAATGAACCAGTTGGCCACTGTAGACATGTTGTACATAGTTTGACACTCGCAAGCTCGGAGGTTCACACAGTTTAACCAGTGCTTTTAAATCGTTCACACTCCAATGAACCCATCCAGACTGACGTTCAATTCTTATAATTTCATACTTTGTATTTTACTGGTCTCGCCGTACATACAAATGAACCAGTGTGACACTGTAGACATGTTGTACATACAAATGAACCTGTTGGCAACTGTAGACATGTTGTACATACAAATTGGGACGGTACAGCTCGGGGCAAATTACGAGCACGTCTCCAGAATCATGAACACGGTGATCACCAAGTGATCACCTTCAGAACTGCAGACAGGCCCTGCGGAGAAGTACCCACGTCACCACCGCCATTGAAGACTGCTGTCTCTGCACTTTGCACTCACGTGACACATGCCTCACTGTGACGTCATTTACATCGCATGCACGTGGGCGTATTATCAGCCGTCACACCATACGTCGCCGACTCGTGAGCATGGTATCAGAGTCTGTCCACCATTCAGAGGACATGCGATGACGAGGCAGCACGCCTAGTTTAAGGTCGTGTGCTCGCCTTTTCACGTGGGGGCCACACACATTACTGACGACTTGACACCTTTTAGTGACAGTAATGATCATGTGAACTCACATGTCCTGAGTGTAAGCTGTGAAATCGCCCATTTTATCCCTCGTGCTGTGTGGGATCTGTGCGACTGAAACTTGAGGGTTTCGCCAATAATAATTTCGTAATACATTTGCATCATCATGTGGTTTGTGTTTGTTTTCATTTGGAAAAACAGATCGGAATACATTTGTATGATCGTCAGTTTCTCTCCTTACAGAAAATGAGATTAAGTTCTTTTGGACCTTTCTCAGCATATATTCAGACTGGAATATTGCGTTTGCTTTGACCATCTGGGGAGGATGGACTTCGCTTTGTAATCTTCAGGGCGGTGGGGTAGCCGAAGGCACTGGGTTCGATTCCCCACGTGGGTACTTTGTGTGAACCCCATTTCTGGTATCCCCGACCGCCTCCGTGGTCTAGTGGTAGAGCGTCCGCCCGGAGAGCGGAAAGTCCGGGTTACGATCCCCGGCCGCGTCATACCAAAAGACGTTAAAAGATGGTACTTGTTGTTACCCTGTCTGGCGCTCGGCATTAAGGGGCTAAAACAAGGACTGGTCGGCTCGGAGTCAGTATACTGTGTCTGAGTAGGGTATTCATGTTAAACTGCGGCATGGTATCTCAGTGGGCTAGCACTATAAATCGGCATCAGTCCGGACTAGTACAAGCTGCCACACACACAAACACACGTGCATGCACGTCGCTCTTTAAGTGCAATAATCTTGGAAGCGACGTTAAAACCAATTTCCCCTTATCTGGTATCCCCCGCCGTGATATTGCTGGAAAATTGCTAAAAGCGGCGTAACACCATACTCACTCACTTGTAACCTTAAACGCATACTGCGTTTGTACGATCATCTATTAGTCAACAGACACCTGGCGTACATCAAGTCAATATCCAGTGTTATTTTTCACGAACAAATGTGTTTCACATGTACTTACACGGACGCTGTTTTTGTCTCGAACAGAGTTTTGTCAGTCCGCCTGGAAACAAGAGAGACACCAACAATAATAACAATGCAAGGACAGCAACAATAGAAATACTGCATACAAATATGACAATATTTTCAAGGGCTGATTATTATGATAATGATCAGAGCAAAGCTTTTGTCCAAATAAAATGACTGATTTTATTTCGGAATATAAAAACAGGCGATGGTGTGATTTGATGATGTATAGAAAGGTTATTAAAAAAGGCTCGATGAAAATAATGGTAACAATAGAGCAAATGTTAGGTGCAATGTCCTTACCTATCAACACAACTCCATGTAGGCTGTGTATCTGCGTATTGAACGCATCATTACTCACCACTACCTGACACAGTAGGACCACATTTAAAAACCCATCAGTATAACAATTCAGATCGTTATCATTGGACCGACCATAACATATTCCTGGGAACCTGGCAGTGGATTGTGAAAAAAATATTTTCGTGCTTACAAAATATGTTTGTCTCTGGAAGGAGAAACCAAACAATTTCTGTTCACAAACAACATATCATTTTCCAGAGGGAGTGAATAGGGTGGATTTAACGCCGCTTTTGACAGACGTATTCCAGTTATATCACGGCGTGGCAGCTTAATATCAGAGTAAAGCCCGAAGTGATGCAGGTTTCAGACGTGTACCACTTCGGTGAAACCCATGAGCACGGTTATGGTGCTGACAAACCTAGAAAAATAATCGGGACGTTCTGGGATTCCAAACAACTTTTTTTTCTGGCGTGCCCAAGGGACGCGACTCTGCATAGCGAATTGCGGCGCCTAAGACGACTGACTCACCCATACCCCTTTTTTCAGAACATCCAGCAAGTCCTGTGAACGATTTATTTGTTTGTTAGAACCTGGGGACGATTTATTAAATTATCCGACCATTTCCGGAAGCTTTATGTTTTTCTCCAAAGAATCCATTGTAGCTCTGATCCATGTATACTCTGACATTACAGAGTTATTGTGACGAATATTCATAGGTAGCCTGATACAACACGTGTTTATATACCGTATGTATACCGTCTTGCTCTCATTCAGTGTCACACTGGTAGTGTCATAAATCTTCATTGGTTTATGAGTTATAGTACAAGAAGTCTTTGTTGTTTAACGCCGCACTCAGCAATATCTTAGCTATAACGGCTGTCTGTAAATAATGAAGTTTGGACCAGACAATCCATTGATTGACATCATGGGCATCGAACTACGCAAGTGGAATACGATGACATGAATCAACGAAATCAGCGAGTCTGACCACCCGATCCCGGTAGTCGCCTCCTATGACAAGCACAGTCGCCTTTACGGCAAGCATGGGTTGCTGAAGACCTATTCTCTACCCGGTTCGGGCACGGTATATGACTCAAAGCCGACCAGTCCGAGCGCCAGGCAGGGTAACAACAAATAACACCTTTTAACATCTATTGGTATGACGCGGATGGGGATCGAACCTCTAAACATTCGCGCTGCGGGCATACGCTCTACCACTGGCCGACGGAGGCGGCCGTTTTCAGCCTTGTAACGTTTCATGACGTTTGTAATTGTTTGGTCAAATCCAATTTTCAAGTGTATACTTTTTCCCGATATTTTACGTGTATATTCAGATGCAACAAACACAGCTGTGGCAGTATTTGTTGTTTTGGAATATATTGATTATTTAATATGATCCATATGTCTACCGTGAAGGTCATCATTTATGTGAGGCGAAAGGTGTTCATTAATTCTGTTTATTGAATATATCATAAATAAATTGGGATCTTCACATACCTAAAGGGTCAATGGGGTAGCCTATTGGTTAAAGCGTTCAATCGTCACGCCAAAGGCCCGGGTTCAATTCCCCACATGGGTACAATGTGTGAAGCCCATGTCTGGTGTCAACCGCCGTGATATTGCTGGAATATTGCTAAAAGTGGTGTAAAACAATACTCACTCTCTCACATATTCATAATGCGTATTTATTTCACAACCAAAACTATTTATTATTGCCATTGAATATGCTTTATGATTGAGGTGCCTTCGAGGGGGGTCAGTATTATTACACACCCGTTCACAGTTTAATAAACATTCATCTGTATTCCTCATTGTGTCAAAACATCACGTACGACGGGATTATTTTGGTCATAAGCTGATCATGGAGGCTTCGGTAGCATATTGCAACTGTACACAACGTTTGCCGTCATATAGCTGGAATATTGCTGAGTGCGGCGTTAAACAACAAACACACAAAACACAACGTTTATTTGCTCCGAAACAGAAACTCTACTAAGATCTACGAAAACTCAGAGATCCATAGACATAATCAGAGACATAATCAGAGACATAACCACAGACATAATCAGAGACATTACCACAGACATAACCATAGACATAATCACAGACATAGCCATAGACATAATCAGAGACATAACCACAGACATAACCATAGACGTGATCACAGACATAACCACAGACATGACCACAGACATAACCATAGACATAACCACAGACATAACCACAGACATAACCATAGACATAATCAGAGACATAATCAGAGACATAACCATAGACATAACCATAGACATAATCACAGACATAACCATAGACATAACCACAGACATTACCACAGACATAACCATAGACATAATCACAGACATAATCACAGACATAACCATAGACATAACCATAGACATAACCACAGACATAACCACAGACATGACCACAGACATAACCATAGACATAACCACAGACATAACCATAGACAAAATCAGAGACATAATCAGAGACATAATCAGAGACATAACCATAGACATAATCACAGACATAACCACAAAATAACCATAGACATAACCACAGACATAATCACAGACATAATCACAGACATAACCATAGACATAACCACAGACATAACCACAGACATAACCATAGACATAATCCCAGACATAACCACAGACATGATCCCAGACATAGCCACAGACATGATCACAGACATAACCACAGACATAACCACAGACATGATCACAGACATTATCACAGACATAACCACAGACATAACCATAGACATAATCACAGACATAACCATAGACATAACCACAGACATAACCATAGACATAACCATAGACATAATCACAGACATAATCACAGACATAACCACAGACATAACCATAGACATAATCACAGACATAATCACAGACATAACCACAGACATAACCATAGACATAACCACAGACATAGACACAGACATAACCACAGACATAATCACAGACATAACCACAGACATGATCCCAGACATAACCACAGACATGATCACAGACATAACCACAGACATAGCCACAGACATAACCACAGACATAACCACATACATAGCCACAGACATAGACACAGACATAACCACAGACATGATCACAGACATAACCACAGACATAACCACAGACATAACCACATACATAGCCACAGACATAACCACAGACACAACCACGGACATAACCACAGACATAGCCACAGACATAACCATAGACATGATCACAGACATAACCACAGACATAACCACAGACATAACCACAGACATAGCCACAGACATAGCCACAGACATAACCATAGACATGATCACAGACATGATAACAGACATGACCACAGACATAACCATAGACATAACCCACAGACATAGACACAGACATAACCACAGACATAATCACAGACATAACCACAGACATGATCCCAGACATAACCACAGACATGATCACAGACATAACCACAGACATAGCCACAGACATAACCACAGACATTACCACATACATAGCCACAGACATAGACACAGACATAACCATAGACATGATCACAGACATAACCACAGACATAACCACAGACATAACCACATACATAGCCACAGACATAACCACAGACACAACCACGGACATAACCACAGACATAGCCACAGACATAACCATAGACATGATCACAGACATAACCACAGACATAACCACAGACATAACCACAGACATAGCCACAGACATAGCCACACACATAACCATAGACATGATCACAGACATGATAACAGACATGACCACAGACATAACTTCAGACATAATCACAGACATAACCATAGACATAATCACAGACATGACCACAGACATGACCACAGACATTATCACAGACATAACCACAGACATGACCGTAGGGTATCTAACCGTAACAAGAATGGTAATAAATTTCATTATAACTTACTCTTTGCTCATTATCTAAATTCTACTTTGAAAGAAAGAAGTGTCATTATAATCGCTTGAATTGATTTGAATTGAATGACAAGTTCATGTTCAATACACAGACAAACATCCCAGGAGGTGACAAATACGTGATTCAATCGCGTCAATTCTGAAGCATAGTGTATATACCACTCAACATTTGGGAAGGGACACATTTGACATTGACTAAAGAGGACTATTTTGATCCCTAGCAAATGTTGAGTAGTATAAAAACAAAGGCTGGGGAAAACCTCCGTGTTTGTGCAAGTGAATGCATGATTCATGGGCATCACAGCATGCCCTGGCCTAAATGTGAAGATCATTGGACGCAGGCTTTGGATCGTTCGATCGTTGTATATGCAAATGTTTGGAGAATACTAACATGAAAACGAATAATTAAGTCATGTGGTGTTATGTTTTGCACCGAAAAGACACCTACTAAACGCAATCTTTTACTTATCATTATTATTATCATCATTTTTATATATACACAGTAAAAAAAGTGTTGCACCCCCTATACTTTTTCATGGAGGGGTGTTTTGAAAGGGTGTAAAGATAACCGAATTAATATTATAACCAGGATTTCGTGTATACCAACAAACCAGTGTATTGTCTATACAATGAACTTAAATGGGGTATTCCATGACCTTATGGCATGTAATAATGTCATGCTGAACTTTTACGAAAAATGAACGAACAACGAAGACGCATTAAGTATGGTGACATCTCAATAATTTTTAGTGACCAAATTCATCCAATAGGGTAAGAATGTCATATGGAGATTTGA